GTATAAAGAGTGAAGCTAGAATTTTGAAATTTTGCACGGGGGTCAGTCTTGATGAGTAGGCATGTGATAAGCCTTGGTTTTTTGGAAATTCGTACTTAAAGAGTACGAAAAGTACTAAAATTTAAATACTTTGTATTTAACAAAGGAAATGAGCTAGAAATCGGAAATTAGCTATAAGTGTCACCGATGTATTGCAGGATAGATGTACTACAGACGTATTAAGAAGTTCGAACTTTAAGGTTACGAAAAGTTCTAAAATGGTACTTAAATTTTAAAATGGTACTATTTGGTATAATGTGAACCGATAGTGGTCTTGAGATTTGGTAGGAGAATCAAGGTTGGAAAGAAAGTTTGATACATGAAGATGTTTTTGGAGATGTGTACTATATTTGTACTAAAAGTACTAAATGTTACTATGTTTGGTATTGGGTGAAGGGACTTAGATAAAATTCTCAAAATTGTGCGAATTGTCCTTAATGGTAATAAAATTTGTAACAGTTTCCTTTAGGGGCAACGGATGGAGATGGCATTTTGAAATTTTTTTATTGGGGTCACCTTTGTGATACAGAGGTGGTTTTGAAAATGTGTACCACAAGAGCACGAAAAGTACTAAATAGTACTATATTTGATTCAATTTTCAATATTGGATGAACAGATAAAACTTGTAGTTCGAAATTTTGTATTAGGGTCGCTCTATGTGTTGCCTTGGCATATAGAGGTGGTTTCGAAAATGTGTAGGCACGAAAAGTACTGGATGGTACTATATTTAGTATTGGGTGAAGGGATAGAGGTATAATTCTTAAATTTGATATTTAGATTACTGATAGTATCTGTGTTTGTGATTTGGAGGTGGTTTGGAATTGCGTCCTATATTTGTGCGAAATGTACTGAATAGTACTAAATTTGGTATTGGGTGAAGGGATGGGGCTGAGATCCTGAAATTTGATATCTGGAATTATGATATGGAGGTGGTCTTGGAAATGTGTACTGTAATTGTACGAAATGTACTAAATAGCGCTAAAATTTGTGTTGGGTAAAGAAATAGAGCTAAAATCCTAAAGATTGTATAGATATCACTGTTGATGTGTGTGGTAAAGATATAGAGGTGGTTTTGGAAATGTGTACTATAAATGTACTAAATGGTATTGAATAATGTATTGAGTGAAGTGAAGTGATTTGAAATCCTCAAATTTGATATTAAGGTCCTTGTTGGTATCTTAAATTGAGATATGGAGGTGATTTTGGAAATACGTACAATAATTGTAGGAAAAGTACTAAATTTGATATTGTGTGGAAGAATAGAGCTGAAGTCCTGAAATTTGATATAGATGCCAATATTTGAGTTTGTGGTTATTTGTTCAAAAAATACTAAGTGGTACTCAATTGGGTATTGGGGGAGGGGATGGAGCAAAAGTCCTGAAATTTGATATAAATGTGTCTGTTGGTATCTGGAAATGTGAGGTGGTTTCGGAAATTGTAGGTAAAGTACTAAATGGTACTAAATGTTGGTATTGGGAGCAGGAATAGACCTGAAATCCTCAAATTCTTAGATTTGGTGATGGGTTTAGAAATGTGTACAACAATTGAACGAAAAATACTAAGTGGTACTCAATCGGGTATTGGGTGAAGGGATAGAACTTAAATTCCGAAATTTGTTGGTGTATATGGCAAAGAGAAAGAGATAGATTTGGATATGCGTAGTATAATTGTACTAAATGGTATTAAATTGTTTAAGGGGGGAAATCAAAGAGCTGAAATCCTGAAATTTGATATTGAGGTCACTGTTGGTATCTGGGGTTGAGGTATGGTGATTGTTTTGAAAATGCGTACTATAATTGTTCGAAAAGTTTTGAATTGGGCTAAGGGATAGAGCTAGAATTCTTAAATTTGATATGGATGTCATTCTTGGTGTCTGTGGTCGAGAGAGGAAGCTGGTTTTGAATACGCGTACCATAATTGTATCAAATGATACTAAATTTGTTAATGGGGGAAATTCAAGAGCTGAAATTTGATATTAGGGTCTCTGTTGCTTTCTAAGGTTGACATATAGAAACGTTGAAATCGTTTTGGCCAGAAGAATTGTACGTGAGTCCATTGTGCAATGGTTTTGTCAATATCCTCCTCGGCAAACTTCAAAATGAAAGATATTTTGGAGACTTTTTGTGTACGAGGTAAACATTTTCCTATTATTCTTTGCTTGGGAGTCTCAAAATGTACCACGATGTATGAAGTTTTAATTAAAAAATTTGGTCAAACTGAACGATTTGTGTCTTTTGAGTACTAAAAAGGCCTAACTCAAATTTATGGAACGAATCTAAAATATTTAAGATTGACTTTTCGCTGACGAAGTTGCGAGTACTTTCTGGTAATAAATAAATACATGAAAGTAAAGAATAAATAAAAATACAGAATCAGGGTTTTGAGGATCTTGGTTATAAATTTGTGGCAATTAAAAAAAAAAAACGAATGTTCCTGTATTTAAAATTCTTCCAGGACTTAAAACCCTGTCCGGCATACTTTGAAGAGGTATACGAAAAAAAAAAAATTATACACCCATTGTTTAATTATTTTATAATTTTTTATTCATTTTTATTTTTTTTCTTGGTTTACAAAAATACATATATTTTTCTTTAATAATTCATATAAGGTATGTTCTTTTAGGCTTTGGGGCATTAATTAAAAACAAACAAAAATAATAATAATTACTATTTATAAATGCCATTAATTAATATACATATACTAAATATCTTTGTTTTAACAGATGACTAAATACAAATAGTTTAGATGTGGGATAGATAAATTATAATTCAATTATAAATAATCGACATACACAGAAATAAATGAAAGCCTATTTTAGTTTAGAATATCACTGGATACTTATGATTACTAAAAGTGATTGAATTAGAATAATTTTTTCACATTAAAAAATCTAATAATGAAGATATCAACAAAAGAATACTTTGAATGGAGAATGAATTTAGTGGAAAGAGAAGTTTACAATTTTTCTTAATTTTTTTTTTTAGATTTAAAATTTATCCAAAATTAATGAATGTTTTGATTCATAAAAAAATTCAAAAGAGAATTTTAATATATTTTTTAATTTTTTTTTAAGAATTTAAAAAATTAATTTATGAATTTTTTGTTTCATAATAAAATAATTCCCTGGAAAGTAATTTTAATATTTTTCTTCAATTTTTTTCTGATCCGAAATTCATCCAAAATTAATGAATGTTTTGATTTATAAGAACAGAATTTATTGGAAAGTAATTTTAATTTTTTTTTATTTTTTTTTTTTAAATCTTCCAATAATTTATAAATACTTTGACTTATAAGAAAAGAATTCACTGGAAAGTAATTTTAATATTTTTCTTCAATTTTTTTAAAACCTTCAAAAAGAAGATTCATAAGAAAAGAATTCGTTGGAAAGAAATTTGAATATTTTTCTTAACTTTTTTTTTGATCCGAAATTCATCCAAAATTAATGAATGTTTTGATTCATAAGAATAGAATTTATTGGAAAGTAATTTTAATATTTTTCTTCAATTTTTTTGTTGAGAACATCCAAAAATAATGAATATTTTGATTCATAGAAAAAGAATTCGTTGGAAAGTAATTTGAATATTTTTCTTCAATTTTTTTTTTAAGATCCAAAATTCATCCAAAATTAATGAATGTTTTGGTTCATAGGAAAAGAATTCACTGAAAAGTAATTTGAATATTTTTTTTCAATTTTTTTTTAAATCATCCAAAATTACTGAAGACTTTGATTCATAGGAAAAGAATTCACTGAAAAGTAATTTGAATATTTTTCTTCAATTTATTTTTAGATCCAAAATGCATCCAAAATTAATGAATGTTTTGATTCATAAGAACAGAATTTATTGGAAAGTAATTTAAATTTTTTCTTCAATTTTTTTTTTAAATCATCCAAAATTACTGAAGACTTTGATTCATAGGAAAAGAATTCACTGAAAAGTAATTTGAATATTTTTCTTCAATTTATTTTTAGATCCAAAATGCATCCAAAATTAATGAATGTTTTGATTCATAAGAACAGAATTTATTGGAAAGTAATTTAAATTTTTTCTTCAATTTTTTTGAACCTTCAAAATTAATGAAGAAAAGAATTCACTGAAAAGTAATTAAATTCCTTATATAATTCCTTAATTTTTTTTTTCAGACATTCAAAAATAATGAAGACCTGGATTCACAAGAAAATAATTAATTTTAAAGCATTTTAAAAATTTTCCTTCAATTTTTTTTATGAACATCCAAAAATTAAATTTTTAATATTTTTTTTTTACATTTGGATAGGGCTTTTTTGAATTTTATTTATCTTTTTTATTTTTAATTTCATACAATTAATTTTTTTTATTATTTGTAATACAAAAACATATGACTACATGGCTGCGAAAGACTCTTTTTACAACATTATTTTATTTTTATATTTTTTTACATAAAAATATTTATGTATCTAGCAGGTCACAAGGTTGAGGTGTGTGTTTGGGCACTTGTGTACGTATATTTGTCTATATATAACAAGATAAATCTCAGTTGAACGTGACTTGAAAACTTTGTCTTTTTTGTTTTATTAGCTTAAAGTTATAAAGCCTTTCCGTGAGTTTTTGTTTTTATTTTTTACTTCCTTAACTATTATTGAAAAAAAAAAATTGGGGGAATTTAAAAAAAAATTGTGGATGTGTGTGTGTATTATACAATGACTTCTCTGGGAACGTGTTATGATTTGGTATGAGTGATAACAACACAGGGCTACAAAAATATTTTTTTTGGAAAACAAAGAGACATTCAGTTAAGATCACAGATCTCCTAATTTTTCAAAATTTTAGTTTGAACAAAATTCATATTTTTCCAAAAGAATATATCCTTTTTTTTGTAATTTTTTTTTTGTAGCACAGTGTTAATGTTTTCCATTGAACGACAACTAATGGACCTTATATAAGTATATATGACAATGCAAACTAGTTTAAATTATATCTTAATTGTTTTGTAATTACTTCTAAATTAAAGCTGGCTTCTTAGGGTAGAATATTATAATGACATATGTATGTGTGCATGTAGGTAGCTAGGTGTGGGTATCGGCTATAAATGTAATTGTCATTCGTTGTTTATGGCCTCGGATTTGATTCCACTATTGGCCAATGGACTTTGAACTCTTTCTCAAAATGCAATTATGATACAATAAAAAAAAATATTCTAATTATTTTTTTTTTTTTGAACTTATTTCAAATAATTCTTTAATTAATTAACTTTTTTAATACAATATTTACAAAATAGCACAAAATGGGACTTCATTTGTTGTTTGTTTATTTAATAATAAAAAATACAATTTTTCACAACAACTGGGGGTGGGAGAATTGATTGGATTTTTGTTTGTTTTTAAAAGGGAGGAAATTTTAAAAAAATATTTAAAAAAAAAAACAAAAAAAACTTGTTATTGGGGAATTTTCGAATGGCCTTCCCAACTTTAAATAATATCTTAAATCATTTCAAAATACCTTTAAATTAATTTATTGTGAAATTACAACTATTTACATATTTTAGAAAAAACCTACAGAAATTTTGGAAAATATAAATTTTTAAAAACTTTTTTGTTAACTTTTCCGAAGATATATTAAACTTGTAAAGCATGGAAAAGCCCTGAAGAAGGTTTTTTTTCCATAAATCAAAGACCTGGAAAAGATATTTTCCATAGGGAAGGCCTGAAGAGGGTATTTTCCATAGACAAGAGCTGGAAATGGCCTTTTCCATAGACAAGACCTGGAGGGGGTATAGGAGAAAGTATTTTCTACAGGGAAGACCTGAAGAGGATATTGTCCATAGCCAAGACCTGGAGGCGGTATAGTCCATAGACAAGACCTGGAAAGTGTTAGGTCCATAGAAAAGACCTTTAGAAGTTCTTGTCCATAAAGAAGACCTGGATAAGGTTTTTTCCATGGGGAAGACCTAGAGAAGGTTTTTTCCATAAAGAAGACCTGGAAAAGGTTTTTTCCATAGATAAGACCTGGAAAAGGTATTTTCCATGGAGAAGACTTGGAGAAGGTATTGTCCATAGCGAAAACCTGAAGAGGGCATTGTCCATAGACAAGACCTGGAGGGGGTATAGGAGAAGGTATTTTCCATAGGCAAGACCTGGAAAGTGTTAGGTCCATAGCAAAGACCTTGTGAAGTTCTTGTCCATAAAGAAGAGCTGGAGAAGGTATTTTCCATAGACAAGACCTGGAAACGATATTTTCCATAAACAAGACCTGGAAATCGTCTTTTCCATAGAGAAGACTTAGTGAAGGTATTTTCCATAGGCAAGACCTGAAGAGGGTCCACAGCAAAGACCTTAAGAAGTTCTTGTCCATAAAGAAGGCGTGAAGAAGGAGACAAGACCTGGAGAAGATATTTTCCATAGACAAGAAATGGTCTTTTCTATGGAAAGGCTTGCAAAAGGTCTTTTCCCTACAGAAGACCTGAAGAGAGCCTTCTCCATAGAGAAGATCTGGAGAGGTCTTGTCCATGGAACAAGTCCTGGAAAAGATTCCTTCTGTGTATAAAGAAGATGTGGAGATGGGAGAAGACCTTCCAGAGGTCTTCTAAAAAAGAGCTTCCAGAGGTCTTCTAAAAAAAGACCTTCCAGAGGTCTTCTATAAAAAGAACGTTCCAGAGGTCTTCTTTAAAAAAGACCTTCTACAAGCCTTCTATTGAAATATCTTCTAAAGGTCTTCTAAGGAGAAGACTTCCTTGAGTTCTTCTACGGAGATGACCTCCTCGAATTCTTCTATGGAGAAAACCTTCTAGAGGTCTTCTAGAGGGAAAGCTTACCAGACGTCTTCTATATTCTCTATAGACAAGACCTGGAAATGATATTTTCTATAGAAAAGGTCTTTACCCTACACAAGACCTGGAAGGGGTCTTGTTCAAAGAACAAGTCCTTGAGAAGACTTGGAGAGGGACTTTTCCACAAAGAAGACTTGGACCCTCTCCTAGTCTTGACTATAGAAAAGACCTGAAGAGGGACTTCCCTATAGAGAAGATCTGAAAAAAGGTTTTCTCCATAGATAATACCTAGGGAAAGTCTTTTCCATAGAAGACCATGGCAAGGTCTTCTCAATAGAAGAGGATATATTAAACCTGTATAGCAATTCAAATTTAACAACATTTCAAACCGGCAATTTTCCTCATCATCCAATCAATTCCTTTCCTCACCACCACCACCGCCGTTGTTGTTGCCTACCCACCGCGCTTCAGCAGGTTATCACATCAGTTGAACTGGTCCGTGAAGAAGTATTACTAAGTAAACCCTCCGTTTGGGAACCCTGGGCACGCAGTAGACTAACACCGCCCACATTACGCTCCAACAGAGACACCTGTTCTTTATGCCTATTGGGAGCTGCGGCATTGGCGGCAGTTGTCACACTCGCACTTGTCGTCGTTGTTGTTGCGCTACTTCGTGAGAATGTTTTGAGGAGGACATTTTTCCCCTTGGGATCTTGACAGAGGTGGGTGACAAATTTCGTTGGATACCAACAGATCATAATGGCACCCAGGGCGAAGAGTACACCCGTTATTAGCTGGCCAATCAAGACAATCAACGGCACCAGCGCAATGTCTGAGGCAATTTCTGGTGTGACTCGTACCCGCTCTTCGGCCCACATTATCGGTATGAAGGTGCGCGGGATGTTGTGATAGGGTCTGAAACGGGAAAGGGAGAGAATTTTATTATGGTATCAGAAAAAAGAAATAAAGCGATCTTTTATGCAGGGCTGCAAACCGGTTACGAACCGAAACGCTATTTCGTTAAAATAACCACGGTTCGCCGCTGAAAAAATATTTTAAAAACCGAACCGTGGTTCAAAAGTAGTGTGGACCAATAAATCGGTCCAACCCAAATCGAAAAGTTGTTTGCAGCCCTGCTTTCATGTACATTGGCCATTCCTGGCCTCACAGGAGATAATTCCTTATAATTTTAAAAATTTTTAGGCATACTCTCAAACATTTAGATATGCGTTGCAGGGCCTAAAATGTGTCATTTATGTTGCCCATTTCAACTCTCCACCAACTTACCTTATCCCCGCCACTGGCTCCATCAAATAATTCGCCTGAAAGCCCCCGCCCACATCCATGGGTACACCGGCATTTGGTTCGAGGGTCATAAAGAATTCATGTTTCTCCTTTTCCGGCTTCAAACCTTCAATGGCTTCCAGGTATATCGGATCGGCTTTATAGAAATGGGGATAGGACATATAAATCGATGAGTTATATTTACAGGGAGCTATGCTAAAGACTCCGGAGGCTTCACATTTATTGTTGACACAGAAGCATTTGTTTTCGGGATAAATGGTACCTGTAATGAGGGGAAAAAGAGAATATCTTCAATATTTTGATTTGAAAAAAATCTATTACAAAAAAGATAAACCGGATCCGTTGCGTAAAATAGGTATTTTATGAGAAAGACCTTCCAGAGGTCTTCTATACATAAGACCTTCTAAAGGTCGTCTATGTAGAAGAATTTCCAGAGGTCTTCTAAGGAGGTCTCCTAAAGCTCTTCTAAGGAGAAGATCTCGTGCAGGTCTTCTAAGGAGAATACTTCCTAAAGGTCTACTATGGAGAGGACCTCCTTGAGTTCTTCTATACAAAAGACCTTCCAGAGGTCTTCGAGGGCGCCCTAAAGATATTCTAAGGAAAAGACCTCCCAAGGGTCTTCTAACGGGAAGACCACTAAGAGGTTTTTTTCCGTTGGGGATCTTAAAGAGGTCTTCTCCATAAAGAAAATCTTCAAGAGGTTTCTATGGAGAAAATCTTCTAGAGATCTTCTATAGAGAAGACCTTTTACAGGTTTTCTATGGAGAAGAACTTCCATAGGTCTATGGAGAAGTCCTTCTGCAGATCTTCTATGGAGAAGACCCTCCATAGGTCTATGGAGAAGACCTTCTGCAGGTCTTCTATGGAGAAGACCTCTTTGAGTTCTCCTACGGAGAAGACCTCTTAGAGGCCTTCTATGGGGAAAACCTTCTAGAGATCTTCTATTGAGAACAATTTCTACAGGTCTTCTAGGTAGAAGACCTTCTGCAATATCTTTCAGAGAACTTGTATGGAGAAGACATTCCAGAGGCCTTCTATGAAGAAGAACTTTTAGCGACCTTCTATAGAAAATATATCTTCAAGAGGTCTTCTTCGAAAAAGACCTTCAGGAGGTCTTCTATGGTGAAAGGCTTCAGGAGATCTTTTATGGAAAAAATCTGGAAGAGATCTTCACAGGGCTTCTTTGGACAAGACCTTCCAGAGGTCATCTATAGAGCATACTTTCAAGAGGTCTTGTATGGCGAAGTCCCTCTAGATGTCTTCTATGCAGAAGACGTTTAATAGTTCTTCTATGGACGAGACCTTGAGAAGGTTTTCGTCATAGAAGGACTGAGAAGGTCTTCGTCATAGAAGGCATTGGGAAGATCTTTGCTATATAAGACCTGGATAAGGTCTTCTTCTTCCTAAAAGGCTTTTATATGGTCTTCTTTATAGAAGACCTTGAGAATGCTGTTTTCTCCATAGAAGCTCGTTAGGGGTTGATTTAAGTCTATGGATGAGACCTTGAGAAGGTGTTCGTCATAGAAAGACTGAGAAGGTCTTCGTCATAGAAGGACTTGGGAAGATCTTCGCTATATAAGACCTGGATAAGGTCTTCTTCATTATAGAAGGCTTTTATATGGTCTTCTTTATAGAAGGCCTTGAAGATGTGGTCTTCTCCATAGAAGCTCGTTAGGGGTTCATTTAAGTATATTAAAGACTTTTTGAAGTTCTCCCCTAAGAAAGCCTTTCGAAGGACTTTTAAGAGAAGATCTGTACCCATTCTTCTTCATAGAAGACCTCTAAAATTCTATCTCCATTTTTATGTATTTCTTGGAAAAAATGTAAAATTATGCTTCTACTTACCATTATCCACCGATCTCTCAGTTCCGCTATATTTGTAAGCCGTCACACCATGCACGCTGACCGTTTCGGTATAATCCAATGGCACCGTACGGCATACATTTGGCACATACATCCAGACCGAATCTTTCGGTGTTAAATTGGGTGGGAAAAATTCACCCATTGAGCCGCGCACACGACCACATGCACCGGGAAATGCGCCATTATGAGTTCTATAGTTCCAGCTATAGATCTGACCCATTTTGGCAATATTATCGGCGCCTGTAAACATATTGAAGTGGCCATCATAGGTGGAGCTACCGTTGCGCTGTAGAGGAGTAGGAGGAGGTTATTTAATAATTCTAAGGGGTAGATGTTGTATTTAGACCTACCGTATATAGCCATCCTATACGATCGTATGGAACCTCAACTTCTTTTACGAATTTCGCCACAAATCCTCCGATTGTGACCAGCGGATCTTTGTAACCCTTGAATAGCCATTCATTGGCGGTCTTGGTCACCGTCACCTGGCGACTGCTTAGAGTCATGGCTAGGATGCCCTTTTGAAAGCCACTGGCATCTTTGGCTCGCAGAGCGGCAGACTGAGGGGGAAAAGAGATATCGGAAAAAATAAATGATTTATTTTTTTTATAATTTTTGTGAGGAAAAGATATCTAGATATAAAAAAATGTAGGGAAACATATTTTTCCCACTAAAAATTTTATTTAAAACAAAAATTTAAATTCTCTTTAATTTCATTTTCGGATCTGCTATATTTTTAGTCATAAAATTTTAATAAATTAGGTTTTTTAGTTTTTTTGATACTCACATGTGCCACTGTATCCACAGTGGTTACAATATCATCCAACGTTCCATTGCTGCCCTCCGGGTCAAATTGAAACGTGGCCTTCTTTCGAAACGACACCGAATAATTACTCGGATGCCAGACAATATCGACTTTATCTGGCGTTTCACGAAATCTATAGGGGCCCAATTGCTCGAAACGAGGCTTTCGTGGGGATCCCTCGTAAAAATCTTCGGGATTTGTCCAATTGAATAGATACACATCAAAGTCCAGTGGCAGGGGTGATACCTTCCAGCCGTCATAGGTGGGAGAGGTGGGGCTCAAAACCATTTCCTGTAAAAAACGAGTGGCAGAACAAAAAAAAAAGTACCGTAAATAAGTAAAACTGTAGATAAGACAAAAAGTTTATGTCATTGTTGAAAAAAAGCAAAAGAGAGATAGATAGATAAGATCGGAGATATGGTTGTAAAAACAACACGGTATTGCAAAATCATTGAATAAAGAAAATAAATAAAAAATAAAAATCTGACAACAAAAACAAATGAAAATCCATTGAGGGAGATGATGATTCATATATATATTGTTTTAAATCAGGTTACCATTATCTTTTCAGGGCATTGAATCTATATGAAGATTTCGTCGTTGAAAAAAAAAAAAAAAAACGAGTAGGAGGGTATTAGTCAGATTTGTCAGCAGATATAACCTCAGCATAGACCAATGAATATTTAGCCAAGGAATTTTTGATTTTGACTTTCTATCGAGATGGCTCCCAGCAAGCTTCAGCATAGCCAACATGCTCTCGACCTACTTTCGATGTCATCATGTAAATATCCACCTAATTATACCCTCAGCCAGCCAGGCTTAAGAGAGTATATATCATTTGATACGGCCGAAACATGTCTCATCGAAAAAACTGTTTTAGAACCTTGTGAGGTGGGTTGAGTGGACTCGATCTAGCGATGTCCGTCCGTCTGTCTCTGTCTGGCTGGTGCTCATGATAATTCTCGAAGGGAGTTTCCGGTTTGATTCAAACTTAGTACATCGTAATATTATTGTCAAACTTAGATCGACTTCGGAGATGGCTAATTTTGAATTTAGTGATAAAAGCAAAAAATGTCGAAAATAGCATCAAATTTTAGAATAAGTGTAGATTTGCTCGAATTGGTCACCTTTGGCACGAATTATAAAATTCTAAGTCGATTTAACGATGTCCGTCTGTCTGTCTGTCTGTTGAAATCACGATACAGCCCACATTATTTGACGTAGAGCGCCAAAATTTAGCAGAGCAATTTGTATTGTGTCTAGGATGGTTGGTATTGAAAATGAGATATATCGGTCCATGATTTGGTATAGCCCCCATATAACGGTACCCCCGACATTCGGTATTTTGATTTTTCACAGATTTTTTCAAATACATTTTTTTCACAGATTTGTCTGAAAATTGGTATTTGTAGGTCATAACGGGTCCCTGTGCGTGTGGCAAAACATTGCATGTATAGGTCCATGTTTTGGTATAGGCCCCACATAAAAGTACCTTCCGATATTCGGTAATTTGATCATTTTTGTCACATTTTTTCACGGATTTGTCTAAAAATTGGTAGTTGTTGGTCATAATGGGTTCCAGCTCCGGTGGCAAAACATTGCATGTATAGGTCCACGTTTTGGTATAGCCGCCATATAACGGTACCTCCGATATTCGGTATTTTGATGATTTATGCCACATTTTTTTCACAGATTTCTCTGAAAATTTTTATTTGTAGGTCATAACGGGTCCCTGTGCGTGTGGCAAAACATTGCATGTATAGGTCCACGTTTTGGTATAGCCGCCATATAACGGTACCTCCGATATTCGGTATTTTGATGGTTTTTGCCACATTTTTTTACTGATTTGTCTAAAAATTGGTATTTGTGGGTCATAATGGGTCCTAGTTCGTGTGGCTAAACATTGTATGTATAGGTCTACGTTTTGGTATAGGCCCCATATAAAGGTACCTCCTGATATTCGGTAATTTGATGATTTTTGTCACATTTCTAATGTTTCCTTTACCCTAAGGTGGAGGGTATTAACAGTTTGGCCTGGCCGAACTTAATGCTTTTTTACTTGTTAAAAATTCAATGGCTTTACCCCGAGCTCATTTTTTAATATTTTCCGAATGGAATATTGCGATATGTTCAGCTCACGAGCCATTTTTCGGCCACTGCGACGCGGGTTTCGATCAAGTCGCTTCTTTACTTTTCCGAACAATTTCTGCTGATGTTGCTGTTTTCTTCCGTCCACTTTCTTGACGTCGGGCTATGCTACCATTATCATGGTAACGAGCGATGGTAGGAGACACAAAAGATTTATTCACATTTAAATGCTGGACTGCTCAACGATAGCCATTTGCTGTTTCTCAGCCAAATATAAAGAAGTCATACTATCACGCCTGAATTCCATCACGAATAACTTTTTTTCTGGAAAATTCTCACCAAAATGCTTTTGTACGCTTGTAAGCAATATAATGAGCTGTCACTGGAATAATTTTAACCGCTATCGGACGAGTGGCTTTGAAATGACAGCAGTCTGAAGTTGGTTGCCTTGTAAAACAATGTTATGTTCACATAAATTCCCAATATCATTTAGCGGGCCGCGCCCGACTTTTGACCTTTCCTTACTGATTTTTACATTTTAAATAGCCAATGCAACAGAACTTTTTATATCAAGGACGCTACTTAATTTTCCCTTCACATTCTTCTTATTTTCCCTCACATTGTCACTACAGAATTGGTTTGGATGTCATGGCCTTTGCATTCTGCTGAGATATTATGAAAGTTTTAATTATTTTCATAAGATTTAATCAGTTCTAAATTAAATGGCTTTTTATGTCTGTCAATAGCGTTTAAGATATCGACGATATTGCGGTTTTATTGGTGTCATCCCCACAGTTTGTCTATTTTGTATTTTTATTTTTAGTTTTATCAGCATAAACTTATGATTCATTACTAATCCAAAGCGATTATTCGCCTTATCTGCAGATCAACATTTTTTTTGTTTTTCATTTCGGTCTGTCGTTGACTTTGTCATGTGTTTAAAAAAGTTGAAGAATTTTTTTTTCCTTAAGTTTTGTTTGTGTGGGATTTAATGGCGTATTTATATTTGGTATTTCATATTTATAGTCCAAAAATGTATTGGAAATTTTATTAAAATCTAAAAAAAAAAACTTAAAATTTGATCAATAATTGTCAATTTTGATTTGTTTCAAACCAATTTGAATTTGTGGTTGAAATGAATTCAAGTGCAATAAATCCAATTTCAAAACAGCGATCATAAAGTGATATATCAAAAACGAATGTGTTGTCACATGAATTGTGCCAGATGTGCAGGAATAAAATTCTGGAGTAAGTAAATGTTATCAGCTTTTTAATGTTGTATGTATGTGTATTGGCAATGGGTTTTGAAAAATCTCAATAAAATAGGAACAAACAAGCCACACTGTTCTAAAATAGGAATTAATACAAAAAATGAATAAAAAATATGGAAAACCTTTGAAAATACTCAAGGCGCATTTTTCAAATGGTCGTTCTTGCACAGAATGCCTCCAGAAGGCCTTTTTTATCTGGAAGATCATTAAGACAGCGTCCTTTCATAGGCTCTTAAAGGCATTCTTTTCACCGATATCCGTGTAATTGACCACCTATCATAGAAATCTCTGTAAAGAATCTTTTTAGGGAATTTTTTTTAACAGAAGACTTTTAGGAAGTCTTCTGTCTATGAAAGGTCGTTTCACAGAAAACCTTTTAAAGATCGTATTTTCAAAAATGATATTTGAGGTCAGTGTTTTTTCCTTTAGACTTTATAAATGCCTACTTTTCGCAGAATACCTCTCTTTCTAAGGGTCTTCTACATGAAGATGGTGTCCAAATGTATTCTATGGTGGAACTTCTTAAAAGTCATTTATAAAAAACTTCCCGAAGGTCTTGATGTGAAAAATCCCTCCTTAAGGGCTTCTGTGGAAAACTAACTTCTAAAGGTCTTCTAAGAAAGATAGACATTTCCAAGGCCTTCTCCTTTTCTAAGGATCTTCTAAGAACATTTTAGGCGTTCTATGAAAAAATGCATTTTTAAGGGCAATATATGGAAAAAGAGTCATCCAAGGCGTTCTACAGAAAGATGGTCTATTCAAGGCCTTCCCTACAGCAAAAAGCCATTTAAAGGTCCTACTTTGAATGGAGACTCCTTAAAGGCCTTTTATGCAGAGAAGGCGCTTTATTCTATAGAAATAATATCCTTTAAAGGTATTCTATTGAAAGGAAATACCCTTTAAAGGTTTTTTATACAAAGAAGACCCTTTAAAGGTCTTTTATACAAAGAAGACCCTTAAAAGGTCTTCTATACAGAGAAGATCCTTAAAAGGTCTTCTATACAGAGAAGATCCTTTAGAGGTCTTCTATAGGAAAAAAATACCACTTCCAAGTCTTCTGTAGAAAGAAGACCATTTAAAGGTCTTCTGTAGAAAGACGACCCTTTAAAAGGTCTTCTATACGGAAAAGACCCTGTAAAAGGTCTTCTTTTATACGGAGAAGACCCTGTAAAAGGTCTTCTTCTATACGGAGAAGACCCTGTAAAAGGTCTTCTTCTATACGGAGAAGACCCTGTAAAAGGTCTTCACCTATACGGAGAAGACCCTGTAAAAGGTCTTCACCTATACGGAGAAGGTCCTGTAAAAGGTCTTCACCTACACGGAGAAGATCCTTTAAAAGGTCTTCACCTATACGGAGAAGACCTTTTAGAAGGTCTTCTTCTATACGGAGAAGGTCTTCTTCTATACGGAGAAGACCTTTTAGAAGGTCTTCTTCTATACGGAGAAGACCCTTTAGAAGGTCTTCTTCTATACGGAGAAGACCCTTTAGAAGGTCTTCTTCTATACGCAGAAGATCCTTCCATAGGATCTTCTACACAGAGAAGACCCTTAAGAGGTCTTCTATAGAAAGAAGACCCTTTCAAAAGGTCTTCTATAGAAAGTAGATCCTTTAAAGGATCTTCTACACAGAGAAGACCCTTTAGAGGTCTTCTATGAAAATAAGACCCTTCTAAAGGTCTTCTTTAAAAAGAAGATACTTTAAAGCTTTAACCTTTAAAGGTGTTCTATGGAAAGAAAATCCGAGGAAGGTCTTTTAAAGGACTTCTAAACAGAGAAGACCCTTTGAAGGTTTTCTAAGCATAGAAGACGGAGAAGACCCTTTAGAAGGTCTTCTTCTATACGGAGAAGATCCTTCCTTAGGATCTTCTACACAGAGAAGACCCTTAAGAGGTCTTCTATAGAAAGAAGACCCTTTCAAAAGGTCTTCTATAG